ATCAAAGAAGATCATTGAAGGAAGGAAACAACTTGGAGAAGACTCCATGCCTAAGGAATTGTATAAATACCCCACTTGAAGATCGAGTAGAGGTTGCTGACACTCTCGTTCATGAAGCAATATTCGAGCTTCAAGATATTTGTTATTTTAATTTTTGTTCACAGTTCAATTTAAGGGTTCTTACGCATCTGAGAACTGAAGTTGTTTTGTTTTATTTTCTCTTTGTTTTATTCAAACTATTTCATACTTAACAATTAGGGATTAAGTTTTGTTTAGAAAGTCCACGGTACGTGGCCGGAGAAGTAATTGATAGGATCGTGTGTAGTTGTGGCTAGACTAGAAGGGAGTTTGAGTCGTGTAAGTCCAAAATATGCAAGTGTTCTACGGTTTATCAATGAAAGAGCTCTGAGGGAAGTGAGACGCTTCCACTTAGGTTTATTGCTGCCGCTATTATTGTTCCTTATTTACATTCTTACATAGTTGAGCGCACTGATTGTTCAAAACATACGTTTCAATTGGCACCATAGCAGTGTTCTACTTACGGGATAAAGATCGTTGGGACTGTGTGTTCGTCACTATGAATCACGATGGAGTGTCTGTTTCGCGCCCTCCGCTTCTTGATGGTTCGAATTATGGATAGTGGAAATCCATGATGGTTATCTTTCTTCGTTCGCTAGGGAAATGAACCTGACAGATCATCGAATCAGGATGGTCCACACCATGCATGCAAAAAGGTCCCTCATAATCCAAGGTTGGTGAGTCCTCAGAGTCAAAATCCTCAACCTCGACCACCCATGTTCTAGTCGAGAAACCAAGGGACTTGTGGACCGATGCGGATAGATTAGCTGAAGAAGCAAACTTTCGGGCACTATATGCAATCATGTCTGCTATGGATCCTACTCGTCATAAGATGATTATTCAGTGCACAACCGCTCAAGATGCGTGGAAGATTCTGGTAAGATAATTCGAAGGTACAAACGCCGTGAAAACCTCAAAGCTCCAAACAATCTCTACCGAACTTGATGAGATCCGCATGAGAGATGATGAAACCATAGACATGTATTATGCTTACTTCTGTGACATTGTGAACCAAAGAGCAATGCTTAGTGAACATGTATCAGAGGCAAGACAAGTACAAAAATTAATGAGAACATTGTCGGATAGATTTGGAATTAAGATCACGACATTGGAGAGTTTTCCAAGAATTCAAACGCTTGGTATTGATGATCTTCTCAGTGACCTTCGTACCTTTGAAATAAATCATGGATTCGACTCGATGAAGGTAAGCAAAGGAAAAAGACTTAGCTCTAAAAGCCAAGGTTCGTACAGTGATTTTAGAAGATGAAGATTCAGATGAAGAGTCATTTGATGCCGATAAAATTATGAAGGCTCTCATAGTTCTTACCAAGAATGTCTCAAAGCTGAAGAAAATTCAGAAGAAAATATTTCAAGGGAACAAGCCTTTTGAAGGTGGTGAGAACATGATCCAACAATTTGGTGAACGACGATCTGGTGTGCAGCTGAACAAGTTCCAAAATGTGAATCAAAAAGTTGAAAAAGATCAGTGTCGTGAATACAAAGGATTCGATCATTTTAAGAAGGAATGTCCAAACTTCAAGAAGAAGAACAAAACGTACAAGGCTACGTGATCTGACTGCAGTGATGATGAGGACGAAGAATCTGAGAAAACTGAAAACTCTCACTATTCTAATAATCTTGCTAAATGTCCTCTTAATGAGTATAACTGCTTACTGATGTTGAATCTAATGGTTCTTACACTAAAAACTTAAGCGATGCTGAATCTGAAGAGTTCTCTGACCCTGCTAAAGAAAACCTAGTACTTCACAAATATGCCATAGAAAAGTGTCTCAAAGCTGTTGAAATGATCAAGAAGTATCAAACCCAAAAAGAAAAGATGAAGCAGTTGGAACATCGGTCAACAGAACGTGAAAAGAAGATAGTTTATCTCAAAGCTGAACTCCAGAAGATGCGAGTTATGACCGTTGATTTCAATGAGAAACTCATCAAA